GTGTTATAGTTAGTAGTAACTGTATTGCGAATAAATTTACCTGTTTGACTATGGCTTGGTCCTGATATCTTTCACAGTGCGCAGCGGTAACGCAAGCCAGCAAAGGAGTGCCTACGTCAATCTCAGAACGCACACGCGCCTACTTTATATATATTTAGTTAGATCAGAATAAAGGGAGTGTGTTCACGAGGTGTCGATACGTATTTCTGAGAAAACTGTGGTAATGTGCCGATAAGGAAGTGGCCATTCATTGGACGGACCTGTAAATTACGTAATCTGCCTGAGTGCGTCGGAGTCTCTTCGCAAACACGCTCTTTTTTGCCCTGTGCACAAATCGTTCGCAGATATGATCTACTACTACTACTGCACGTCTAACGCCTTCGATAATCACAACAAATTCGTAAAGTTAATGTATTACTGATACGCCGACGGCCATGTTGATTTCACCGTTTCAAGCGCCGTTACATCGACTGGATTACGTACGCTTCAGCGATGGTGGCCGCTTCATACTGACCCGCTTTTTAACCCGACATTTTGAAGGTAGACAATCGAGTTAGTACCCTTATTGGTAACGTTTACTATAGTAGTGTCAAGATAAGTGCATCAGTTAGTAAATGATAATGATAAATAAGTATTTATATATATATTATGAGGAGGTCCGCCTTAGAGGCTTTTGGCAGACTTTTTCGTTCCTAGTGTGCAAAAGAATAAGGACGATTCGTCTTTCTGCCTACACAAGAGGAATTATAGGAACAAATTACGGGTCCACGACATACTCAACGAAACACGTATGAGCCGCAGAGACTATTGCCGTCGAACATTGTCTCGCATAGTGAAGTATCGCCAAGTTGGTCACAGCTGTGGCCATATGCCCTTTTGCTACCAAATCATCTGCAAAAATCCTTTCTAATTCTACATTTTCTTATGTAATCGTTAAGAGTTATGGAACTTGTTAGAGAAAGCTTAGCTGACTTGGTAGAGATTCGACTGAGCTGCTTCTCATTCTCCTGTTTCATATAGGAAAGGCGAAAAACAAGCCACGAAGACTTACTATGCAGAGGCATTTGGCAATGGTTGGCAAGCAATAGTTTACCTTCGAATCAGTGGTGGAAGCCCAAGTTTCTTTTACCTACTGAGAAACCCAAGTTTCTTTTATGCGACGCCGTTAGCGACTCGTCGAGCGTAATTGAATATACAACTATAATAATTTTCTCGAAAATCGCATTTCAGCTGCTTACCTTGCGCGAGTTGGACTGTTTCGTCATCAACTAATCATCCGGCGTCGGGCGTCACAGTGCTATAGATAACCACTTGAATACTATGAGTATAAGCTATGGGCAAGCTGAGACGAAGCTCACGCACTTCGTTCATAGAACATTTATGCTATATCATAAGTCGCCCTGCAGCGCGCCGTTTCTGACCGGCTTTGTAAGTTCTGAGCTGTGTCTTCGGGCATCCTATATTCCTGGAGTCTTCCAGGTACACGTGTCAGTATACACCTTTGGAAAAACAGAGAATGCTTTTCTACAAACGTATAACATAGAGTTTTTTTCTTTGGCGGCGAAAGGATTTCCCTTGCCAATGGAAGAAACGAAAATACGATACAGTAAATAAAAAAATGCTGAAAAAGAAGCTGCATTGAAGCAGGACAGCGATGCTTTGGAGCGTCATGTCAGGTTCGTATCTGTGCGAACGCTTGTAGAGTAGGCGACCCCATAAAGCTTTCGGCTAGGGTGGGGTTTAAGGCAACACCTGATTATCCTTCAGGACTATTTCGTTTGATTTTCGTTGCTTATGGTCATTATGAGTATTTCATCGATTGAGCTTTGCTAGCTGGGATCTGCACTATGCACCCTTGGATGCACAAAAGAAAAACTGTCGTTTCTCATCAAGACGTAAACAAAATGTATAGCCGTTCGAATTTTTTTCTCTTACACTCTATGTGTACAATTGTTATCTATTCCAGACCTTAAGAAGGTCGAAGAAGAATTACCTTCAGTACAAACTAGCTTCTAATGGAACAAGGATATGTAGCATAAGACATACGGCTTGCTTCTGATAAACAACAGTGAGTCCATGGGCCACCTATTAACGTCAACTTATATATTAACAATATTTTATGCTTTTAGATCCGGTTAGATTACGCTATTCTTAACACACAAGAAAAATTCGTGGGTTTAGCTGCCTGAATATCTTAAGTAGGAACCCTTTCGTTTATTATTATGAAAAACTACTACGCAAATACACACAAAGGAAGTAGATTTGCTCTTTACTTTTCCATAGTTTATGCAACATGCATATCGAACCTCAAATCAGCAGTGTCCCCACGTAAAAATTCCGTAAGACGTTACGTTGCTTGTATCATCTCAATAGAAGCGCTATTCATTTGTTAACCTGATGCCACGTGTATTCCTACAAGATCGTGCCGGGCAACGTAGAACGGTAGTATTTGCGCAGTGGCTTGGACGTCTAAGTTTCTGGTTAAAAATAACCAGAACTTCCTAGCTCTAACTTCGCCGCCCTGGACGTATGCCTACTCAACACAAACAATGCTACAGCATAAAGTTTCTGTTCGGACTGAGAGTCAAAAGAAAGGGCCGGTTATAACTAGAAGGGTATCGTGCAATCCTAATTTTGAAAACCGAGCTTTTTTTATATTCATTTTTCCGGACTTACGTGTGACACATCGTCACTCTGAAGATGTAAAGTAAGACACGTGAACGGTTCTATTTGAATTCAATTATTTCATGTCATAACAAACTACCCTAGATAATTAGTCTCTGTGGGCCGGGCCGGGCCGGGCCGGGCAGGAAATTGTCTGTAGGGTCGTTTGTGCTGTTTACTTCGCTAAATTCGTTGACTAAGCCATCCATGTTATTCTGTCACTGCGTGCGGTCTTCAGGATGCCATTTCTAACCAGAAGAGGTTCGGTGAGAGATTGACTGGCCAATCGAGCATAGGTCATAGCTTATGTAGGAAGATGTAACCCTTTCTTTTTAGTTATATATTCGGGTACCAGGAACCAATTATTATGTTGATGTTACGTGAGCGTTTAGATATGTCAGTTACGATTTTGTAGACTTACCATGTTATCATTATCGCTTTGAAATTCGCTAACCAGGTAGATTCAAATATTGTCTTTGACGATATGGATTACAAATGCCTCTTATATGCGTTTGTCTGAGTCAAACTGTTGATGGTCAACTGTTGAGGGATCGCAGTCCCTCTCTGATCTAATAATGCCATGGGCCTGCTATATACCTACCTCTGGGGGTGGTATCTTTAGTTTAAGTTCACTCTCATTATATGGTATTAGCCATTCGATCCAAATAAAAATCTACGCAAGGGAATGATTAATTGCACGATGTTATCTTCATATACGCGTGCTATCTCTGAAACATTAAGCTATGCCAGGGGCAGGTTTTGGAAATGAACGAAGGGCGGGTACATTTACATAATAAAACTCTACATATGAATGTGATAAATACATCTCTGGGTATTTATTTCAAAAGTAAATGCTCGTGCACCTGCTTCAAAAAAACTGACAGTCGGACATACTGTATTGTCTTTGAGGTTCTAGAGATGTATATCTTCCAAGCGTATCATATCCCTAGAAACTTCGTTGAAGGCAGGTCTAAAGAATGGACCCGTAGCGGATCCTAGCCGAACGTTTTTGTTGTGTGACGCTTCGACTTAAAAAAGAGATTGTCGGGGGTGGCAATAGGCTAAACTATTCGGTAATTAGATGAAATTCAGGACCGGTTTTGACTGAGATTGTTTCAGTCACATTTCTATTTTTCTAACTTATTACGTTTATCCAATATAATGCAGAAATTGATATTTCTACAAAGTGTAAGTTAAAAATAAAAGTGTCATACCTAAAATAATATAAGCACTATCGTTTTTTTTTGGTAAATAAGAAGCATTATCAAGATTAGGCCTGAACTTAAGGAAATTTCGAATTCAACTAGTGAAATTAATCTTAATTATCACACCCACTATGTGTCCTTGAGTATATATCAGGCCCTTATCAGTTTCCGACAATGCCAGCATCACCTAACAATTCTTAGACTTTATATTAAATCATTTAGGGAAAAATGTTCCGTAGTGTTAGATAGCGTTACTCACACTGAACATATTATATAAGTCATGCCTGCAGTCATTTAGATGAATATTTAGATATTAACAAACTTATTTACGAATCAATAAATGTGCTTATCTTTTTATTACAGCTATTTTTATTTATATGTATGATTTTATGGGCAGAAGATATACTTCGTCCGAAGTCGTTGTTGTCAATACGGATGTTTTCTGTACTGAGCGCTTATTTTAGCACTATTTAGGTACGGTAAAATCATTTTAAACAATTTTTGTTAGTGAGTTAAGCACTGGGCAGAGAGTTTCTTTCGTTAACTACAGAGGCTATATCACTTCGTGTCGAGTCTAAGGGTTGAATGTTCTGCCCTGACACTTAGCTAGACCCATGTCGAGCAGACGAAAAAGCACGGAGACTACGAAGGTTGAGGTCAAGCCAAACCCTTGCCAGTGAGAACAAAGTGTGTGTGCTGTATCCGCCATCGAAACAATGAATTAAAGAGAACGATGTCGTCAAAGCGACTTGACCCTTGTGCCCTTTCGTTCTCAAAACCAGCTGCATCCTCATCAAAGGCAATCGTTTGCTAGTGTTCGCAGTTTTCATGTTTTCTTAGCATATCCTACTTTGTCCTTGTACTGTCAATCCATAAGTTTTGTTTTTGACCTCTGTTTTGTATAGCTGTTTAGAGCATACAGCCTTTTACAGGTAAAGTCCTGTTCATTCAAAATACAAGTTTCCGTGCTACAAACCCATCGTGTGCAGGATAAATGCTAGACCCGTCAACAGTGAACATTCGTAGGACTAAATCGAAACAGCCAGCGCAGGAAACGCATTGCGAGGTAGCGAACTTGACTGTACGCAAACTTCCCTCCGAAAAGGTAGCAGAAAACTAACTCTTTTTATCATGATTGATAACGCTTTGAAGTGTAAGCTGTGCCATTATACCGCGGGCAAAATGCAGCATTTGAAGCGGCATATAGCAACGGTGCATACGAAGGATAAGCCGTTTCTGTGTCATCTGTGCTCAAAAATGTCGTCGAGACAAGATGAGCTCAGACTACACATTCAGAGCGTACACGCGAAAAAAAACCCTCTTATATGCTTGTACTGTTATGAGCAGTTCGGTAGTAGTGAAGAGGTAAATGCGCACCTGGAAATAAAGCATTCGTTTCCATGCAGCGTGTGCGGTGAAGTACTGAGGACTAAGAAGCGTTACGGCAATCACAAGCGTGTTCACAGTCTACATAAATGTCGGTACTGCAAGTTTTCCTCAACGGAGGAACGAAAAGTCAAACTGTGTGAGCGTAGACATCTCAGGAATAGCCAGACCAATAATGTCTCCAACTATTTCAACGATGATGACCTCTCAGGGGGAGATAGCACGCCCAGTGTTGTCACCGATCGCAACGGCCTAGCGACCACCGGAAGTGACGATAACGAACCCGTTAACCCGCCCCACAACCCAATTTCAGCCGGCGTCAAGCTCGATCTGGCTCAACGAACGAACCCGTCAATCAACTCAGACAGCAAGAACAATTTCGACTTTAGTCATGAATCTGATCCCAACGACAGGCCAAGTGCTTCTCCGCGAAACGAAAATGATCCACAACGTTTCTCAACGGTGATGGACGTAAACGACTATAATGCAGCACTTATCTTGTACCTTATGAAATATAGGTGACCAAAAGAAGCTATCAGTGCGCTATCGAAACAACAGCTTCACTAATTTCGCCAGCTGTGTCTGCGGTTAGTGGCTGTCGAGAAACTAGAACAGAGAAATCGCAAACACAAAATGTAGAACACGATGCAGAATGTGAAAGTGAAACAAAAAAAAATGCAATATAAAATACAAGGTAAAACATAAATGTATGCGATCAACAAGGACGAGATGTGGAAGTAAGGGGCAGGGGCAGGGGCAGGTGACAAGCGTTGCGCTTATCAGAGGCAATCCTCTCTTTCTGCTCCATAGAAACTGCATATCGTCCGGGACGATGTACGGTTATAAAACTATTGTAATTTACTGGTTCACAGCAGGCAGCAGGTAGCTAACCGAGATAACGAAAGCATATTTATCATCGCAGTTAGAGGCCGAACTATGAATGAGACACTTGAATTTGGGGAAAAAAGTGAGCAGAAAAGCTGGTGAGAAGCCACCCGTTAGCTAGCTCCGCTGTGAAATATCCATCTATTCGGAGTGTCTGAAAGGAAGTCATATCCGGGAACCCGGCTGTTTCATAATGAGCGCGTAGTGAAGATTGTCTTGCATCCTGTACATCTATGCGAAAACAACTTAGTTGCCCGTTGAGCAGATAAATTGAGGTTTCAGTCTTGTCGTGGCCATTACAAAATAGAGTGGCTCAGCAAACTCGCTAATAAAAATTAATAACTAATTAAGATGAGTAAAGGTACATTTTTCACAATATTGTACTCGTTTGTCGATTGAATGATTTAATTAAAAAGTTGTGATTATAGCAAGCCAATGCAGTGCCCTATACAGCAGTAAAGGAACGAATACGACTCCTAAATTACCACTTTAATCACACTATCAGTATAAACTTGGGGTCGAACCACCAAACGATCTGGCAATTCAAAGCTTAGATAGTAAACAGACTATATTCTATGTCAGTGAATGAAAACCCCATCGAGAATGTCTCGTTATTCAGAACTATCTGAGTTAATCCTCAGACCGTTAGACAATTCTACTTGGGGATTTCATGCTCATGCTGCTTAAGCTCATATTGCTCATGCTCTCTTAAGTAAGTAAAAGGTCATTGAACAAAATTCGAGACGAACTTCATTGCGGATGAAAGTTTCGAAGTTCGCAAACGGCCTAAGCGCACACTAACGAACTCTTTGAAACGACGGAACACGACGCTTTGAACGGACTTTATATAGAGACGAAAATTTCTAATTAGAAGTGCTCATACTGGGCATAGGGGCGCCAATTCCGTCGTTATTTTTACACTCCAGTTAGCATAAATCGTCATTACCCGTTCAACAAATCAGCGGTTCTGCTTACGTCGCAGCTGCAACTGCCCAATATCCATCGTAGCACATATTTGTCACTTGTTGCATATACAAAATTGATGCCCACCGTGCCACGGGCAGTAGGCCTATGGCGGGGGGCAAGAAGGTTGAGAAATTTCTGCTGCAGATAAATAGTCGGATTTTAAAATGTAAGAAATTCTACTTACTAACATCATTCAGCGGTAACATTGACTCGGCGGGGGCACGTTATACGTTTACATTAATACATGCAACTATTAAATAGGGCTCTTTCGAATGCGCGTTGATCAAATGCCAGAGAATAAAGCATTTGCGCCTTCGTTCAGCACAGGAACAACGAGAAAAGGCCGCATCGAGACACAATTACCATATTTTTATCAGATGCACTCGTGTCGCAGGTGGCGCCAACCGTCTGTGAAATTAGGGTATAGGCAAAAACGTGGAAAGTAGTTCAGCGCCGTCTCCTCCAAAGGGGGCGAATCATTATCATAAACCTGTTATATCATGGAGCGCTGATGGCCTTATTAAGTTCTTCTTGCATTCTGTTTGTACCTGTCGCTTGCGTTTCGGCTAATTGCAGCTTCGTTCGATTCAGCCACCTTGAAGCACATTTTAGAAATCAGTGAGGAAATCTTAAGAGCATCTTGAGGAGAGTTGCCTCTTCATTGTTACCAATTTGTCATTGTTGATGATCACTGCTCTACGGATCATAAACCTATGGCGAAGGCATAAGGACGGACAAGTGCCATTATTAGATTTTCCGTATTCATATTTTCAGCCTTGACTTTGAGGAAAATTCTATTCAGCTTATAAATTACATGGGTATAATCTGCAGTTTTGTAATATTCAAGCTACCATGCGAGCAGTACGCTAGGTTAATTGCGGAAGGCTCTGCTATTTGTAGTTAACAACGGGTCCTGTAGCTTCTGCCTGTGTAGGCAAGGGCGTAATCTAGGTACTGAGTCTCTAGCTGATATCTCCTAGCCATTTTGCGTTGTAGAGCCCTAAAGCCATGGATGTTAGATTAACAGACAAAGTAAATTTCACTCAATAATGGTAAACAGCATGAATGTGCTCTGTGGAACAGACGATGTTTTGGCATTATCAAACTGGTAGTTTATTTATAGATAAATAAGGAACCAGATATGCCTATCCAGAGTACTCAATGACTGCTGCTTTAAAAACTGCTTGTTCGAGAGAAGACATAATGTTGCGTATGTGAGATAGCTAATTCTTATCTTGGATCAGGCCTCTTGATGGAGGATGATGAGCGGATCCTTGAACGTGAGCTCTAAGGCAAACCTGTATCTCACGAACTTTTTTAATCTGAGTTTGCAAACGGTAGCGTAGGCGTACAGATCAACGACTTTGCAAGATTACAGCTGATTAACGGGCCTTTGTGATTGCATCTGTCTGAGTCTCAGGTGTTGGCTTGTTAACTTGTACCAAAGGAAAAAAATTAAATTTTGATCTTTTTCATCAAGTTTACGATTCCCTTACAGTACTAATTAAGCGATGCGTACGTTTTAGCCCGTGGCTGTGGCACAGAATGCCAGTATTTTCTCATGTACCGAGAGGTTTTCGGTAGGTGGTATGGTTAGAGAACGAACAACCTAAAATTGGCTTTCCAATCCAATGAAGAAGTAAATATTATACCTTGTGGCCATATTTCATGTACCAGGTTATATCAATACGATAAAACTTGTCACTTTTCCGCGTATGGTAGTCTAAAGCAGATCTCTGCACCGTAAATTTCCACAGTATAAAAGGCAAAGCTGATTCGATTCTACCTAAGACCATACGTGCGTAATTTTGAGACACAACCCATGCTGCATATCGTTCTGCCTAGAAGTGTTCGGCCTAGACGAACAAATTATTAGTTTATTTGTCGTTATTTTCTTTGTTTCTAATATTGAGATATAGTAGAGACACTTGCTGTGCTGCTAAAGAGCTTTAAGCGATCGTATTTGAATCCCTTCGGCCGTTCCCCGAGGACGATACGATCCATCTGCAGTTATCGAAATTCATCGATCGGACATTAATCCTATCGTGCCGAATCCAAAACATCGGCTACATCATAGCAGCGACAAGTGTTTAAGGGATCAATGCCTGTGCCCAGAACATTGTCAACCCAGATTGGATGGCTAGTGGAAAGGATCGAGTGATCTAGCTAGTTTGATTGAACTAGCTATATATAATAAACGAACTGGTAACCTTTAACACCCTAACTGGAAATAGCATCTGATGTTTAGGCCAAACCTGTTTAAATAATAAAGCTATTTAACCAGCTGTAAAGTTTAGATACAAGCTAATACTTATTGCTGTTTGGGCGCTCTTATTCCTGAAGCAAAGGTTATCTGCGCATATGGCCTGCAACGTTGCTTTGAGAAAATGGGTTTTCCCGATCAATGGATATCTATTTGTAGCAAAACAACTAGCTACCAAAAGTTAAAAGCTGCGTAATTTTAAATTGATTATATACTATATATCTCGTGTTTTGTAAATATTTTTCAATTACCAACTCAGCAGTCCGTGTCTTATTCGGATATTAGTTATTACGTCGTCTTTCCTTTCAAGTTTTACGTCCGGACCTTCCGTTGTACACGATATGAGAACAACTAGTTCTGTTTCGGTGGGTCGTACATCTGAGAGACATCATGGAGGTCTTTATTCTGCGATAGGCTATTTTGTCCATATCAAATAGTTGTATGAATGTTCCCGAAGTGTTTTCTATGGAACGAATTGCTATTATTTGAATAATGGCTTCGAATTTTCTTGTTTTAAGTATTTAGCGATAGTTATGATCTATACAGTAAGAGGAAGTGAAGCAACTAAGCAATGTACTGTGATTGGTTAGAACTGCGGTAATGCTATTTAGCTAGATTAAATAGGGAGCTGGGGTGGCATCCAGTTCGTGAAGAACACGAATCGACCCCTATGCGTATATCGCCCTTGCCACTCCCACATATCTCCTCACCCAGCTCAGTGGGGGGGGGAGGGAGGGAGGGGTGAGCATACGGGAGATTTTTTAAGATGGCTTACATCTGATCAGTTCTTGGGTTTCACACTGTGTCGTGTCTCGTTAGTTTTGCTTTCGTTAACCCTACTAGAGTTTGTTCAAAGACCTTGCGTTCGATGTCAGTCCCAAGGATTGATCAACCGAAAATGGCTAACGTTCAAATGGTCGTAGGTAACCAATCCGGCCAGCAACAGCAGGACGAGATGCAACAACATGTAGCCGATCAGCCTCCTCAGATGATCCCGCAGAACGCAGCACTTCACGCTAACTCTCGCGCTGTGGTGATCGAAGCAAAGTGGTTCGCATGTACTTTTGAGGACTGCAACTTCAAATCGTACCGGTATCACCATTTGAAAAGACATATTATGACGCATACTAAGGAAAAGCCGTTTGCCTGCCCTGAGTGCGGGACTAAGCGCGCACGACGTGACGCGCTTGCCCAGCACATGAAGACGCATGCGAAGAAAGACAAATGCAGGTGCATACATTGTTCAAAAAAGTTCAACAGCGTGGAAGAAGTACAAGAACACCTTGATACGGCACATCGACATATCTGTGACAAATGTAAAAGAAATTTTGTTAGTACGAAACAACTGAGTGACCACAAACGTGAGCATAATGTGACCAGATGTCGAATGTGCGCGTTTTCGTCGACGCACTACCACAAGGTCATGAGACACGAACGCAAAGTGCATTTTATTTCCAAGGACAATCAAATAGCTCAGGCGGCCACTCCGGGGGACGTAAGCCAAGGTCAGACTCTGGACGAAATCGAAGATCAATCAGGCAGCGATATCAGGGAGGCGAGCTCACCTGATTCTGTCAGCAGCCTCACAGGCCCAGTCGCTATGGTCCGCGCGCCAGCCACTGACGACAACCTTTCTTCCCAACCGTTGGACTTGTCAGTCCGATCAACCGTAGTACAGGCCAATAATGGAACCAACATCAACTTCAATTCAGTCGATGGATCCAATCCTAACCGAATCCCTCCCGCTCCTTTGAATCTGCCCTATGAGCTACAGATGAACAGTGTAATGAGACCAGGCTACTATTTACATTTGTATCACAACTATTTGGATTACATCAATAATCCCGCGTACTGGTATTTTTCTCAGAACTAAAAGCTTACCTATACATGTCTGTATTGACGATTATGACAAAACTTATATTAGAATCTGGCCAGTACGACATGAATCGTGCAATGTAAAAGAAATTAGCATTTCAACAGAGGAATATAACGACTCACAAGCGCGTTCGTAAGCGAAGTGAACGATACATGGCATATTACATAGCTGCGCTGTGACAGGCCAACGAAAAGCGGTCCTTTGTTTGCCTTATGACCGTCGTAGGCCATTTCCGTGCAAGAGCACCATCAGCCTCTGATTTCTCGTTTCGTTTTTTCGTTGTCCAGTGTCTATCTAAATAACCAAAATATGGCACTGATCCCAGGGCTTTCATGTCTTACGATAAACATTGCGCACAATACCGCCATGCTAAATACAAAAAATATTGGAACACATTGAAAGTAAGCCAATAACGATAACATGTGTATATTAAAAAACAACTAAATACACAGAACTGTGTTTTGATTTAATTATCGACATTAATGTTCATAATAGAGGAGCTTACGAAATGGACTGCTGCCTTAACACTCTAGACGATCTTTGTAAACATCCTAGGTTAAATTGAGGTTGACTTTTTGTACAGTAACGATGCCTATTCAATCTTTTTCAGCTTTATATTTTACAGTGTCAATATTTGCCTCCAGTAAACTATATCTATTATTCTTTTATATGGTTTTGTATTGCTATCCTGAATTTAACTGCAGACCGGCCCAAATAAATAAATTCAAGTCCATTTTTCAAACTCTAAGAAAGGAAAAAAGCAAATGGATTTTTTTGATAACTAAATAAGTTACCTGTATTAACAAATCCTCATTTAGACTCTCAATATCTAATGATGACTTTTAGTGTTTTCTATCCCCTAAGAGCTCATATGCAATGCTTCTTCTATCGATCCGCTTCATGTAAGCTGTGTATTTAGACCCACGAACGTTTTTTTACTTGTGTATGGAGCGTTTTTTTTCAATTCCCACACAGGCGACGGCAGCTATTGATGAACCGGGCGATCTTCACCTGCATATGACTGACGTATGTTTTGCGTTGAAACGTCCAGATATAGCTTTATGCCTTTATATAATAGACATAGATAGATCTCACAAGTATCTTACGGTAATAGTCTATACTAGATATGGTGGTTTCTGTGCATCACAATCACGTTCGATTGGCTCAGCCATCCGTTATATTTTAAATGACTGTGTTTCAGAGTTTGTTCACTCATCGAATAATAACAATGATACGTTTTCGTGGGGTATTTTTATTATTTGTATGAATGACGATCATCCCGCTGTTGTCGTATAGAATCCCAATATGGGTGTGTACCTTAGTCCTTAAGGAACCAGCCAGGCTGCTGTTACGTGTGCTGTTAAGTGCGTAGTTTCATGAACACCTCTACAGATAACATGACACCTTGCCAAATATGCTTCGTTGAGTTAATCAATCCAAGGCCAGTATGCTGCCATTAAAATTTTCACATGCCCTTTTTTGAATGTCTAAGATCATAGTGATGAACCCGCTCTCATTCGAAACCCCAATGCAACCTGCCTCGCGTTGCGTTCGTACCCCCACATGCTGTTTGACTCCGAATAGGGTTGGGAGAAATTCTCGGAAGGTCGTCGGCCGAGCAATCAGTAGAAGTAGGCTGTCCCTTGACTGCAGACGAACCTGCGAACAGCTGTAATACAGGCGCAGTGTTCCGAAACATGATAACCGCTGGGTTTACCTTGGTCCAAGGCCTACGATGCTTCTTCAGATTCCCTCTACCTCACTGGTAGAAAACATTGCGGTGCACTTTACCAATAGACAGTAGAAAAGTAGTTTTGTTCTCGGTCACCTCAACGGTTAGCGCCATAGCAACTTCAAAGACAGAGGACTCTTTCGCAAACTTCGATTTTCTATAGAGATTGTTTTAATTCTTCAATTATAACATTATTTGTTTGGCGACGATTAATCATACAATGGAGTGAAACTGCTTTTTACAAATATTACACATTATGTATCAGGGTAATGAAACAATAACGAAGCCCAGTGCTCAGCAGAGATACCGATGCAGATAACTTACATAATTAAATGATTAAGTTCGTGGAATAGCTTTGCCTCGATATTATCTGTTCACCAACTAACAACTTAGAACATAAACATGCGATATTTAGTACGTATATTAATATGGCATAAGTTTTTTCAATGTAAGCAATACGCAATAATGGACTAGCTCCATTAGAGTGCATGAGTTATTCAAAGACGCCAAGTAGAATTTGCATAGAAAAGTCCTATTCGTTCGCAGGCTTCAACTCGACCGGAAAAACCCATCGGAACCATATTAGCGGCGGGCATTCAAAGACGCTAACTTACGTAAGCAAGCGAAACGCTCGTGATTATTTTAGTCTAAATATTCGATTTCATAATACAGATTGTCGTCAGAGTTGTGCCAGTTCTGCGTCTGCAAAGCTATCCATCTTGAAGTTTTTGAGGTCCATCTATGAAGTCCTTATGTGTGTCGTTAGCTGCGAAAACGTCGCGTTTATTGACTTGTGACTGAAATGTACTGACGGGCTTCATAGTTCTACTACTAAGAAAATGTGTAATTCACGCAAAGAGGTCTTTCTGACGATATACAGCTGATGATGCCCTGGTCTCCATACTTTGAATTCGAAGTTAACGTTCCAAAAAAGCGAATATAATACCATACAATAAAAATACCTGCAATTGTCACTTATGAGTGAAAGCTTTCATCCTGCAAAACGGACGTGAAGCCATTCACAACAGATCATGAGGTGCAGCCAGGCCGGTTGATAAACAATCAGCAGCAGATACACTCACAGATTTTTGTGTTTTTTAACAGAACAACAGTTTAAAATATTAATAAGGTAACGTTTCATTATAATATATTTATGGGCTTATAGCAGAAGGTGAGATTAACAGGGGTCTTGATATGGGATTGCCCATTACCCGTAATTCTTTACATCAACGACGTAATGGAGATCAGCGATCTGGCAGAGAAATCCAAAGTTCACTCGCAACAGTGCTTCGGCATGTAACAAAAAGTCGTTCGTTGAGCGTAGCCATATGTAGAAATTTTTGGAGAAACAAAGCTTTCTTGCGAGAAAACCCAATACGCAGTGCGAAAATGACTGTGATAGAGTGGTGATGGTAGAAGATGACGCCACTGGCGTCTCGAAGACGGAGTTGGCGTTGGCGTCTCATCGGCTAGACGAAAGGTCATGAACCCAAAGCTAAAAACCAGTACTACCCCACTGGGTATCGGGGGCTTTGACCTCCAAGCTTTTAGGATAGAAAGCTTGAAAGCTGTAATTTCCTGTGCTGCTGCCCTGCGAAAATGAAGCAATGTGCTGTGAGTGGGGTGAGGGTGGATCTTAAGCACCAATAACACTACCCTACGAGCGTGGGGTAACCAACTGGTCTAAGTAGAGGACTTACAAACCTCACAGTACTCTACGACGCTGTACTACAACTGCTGTTCAAAATCCGCCAATGCCCAATGGGCATCCTTTTGTTTGAGCTTTGCAGGGCGTCTGTGTAAGCCGGCATGGACCGTCCTCGGCGAGAAAATTCGGCGTCCTCAGGTCGCGCCTCCTAGGGAAACTGTGATTCGTATGGCGTTCAAGTTAAGGTTTACAACCTTGATAATCTATCTTGCGAAAGAAGACTGCAGGCCAACAGTTAACGCATTGATGTAAGCTATATTATAGCATAGGGGTTGCTGGGACCGACACCGTGTAATCTACCCATATACCGCAAGCGTATACTCTCGTCAGCCCAATCGTTATGAGATTCAATGACAAATCTCATTGATAAAATTTCTCGATATTGCTTCTCGTAAGTTGTGCTAACTTGAACCAATTTTTAGCATGTGACTTGAACACGCCGGCGTGTTTCGGCGGGGTTTAATTAATCTCTACTATATACAAGATCCATATATAACAAACGAATAGGGTATAAATGCAAGGCAAATTTTTAGTCTACTGATGGCTGCCGTAACGCTTGATATTTTTTCATTGTGAAATAAGTTCTTTGTTTAGCGGCATGCAGGATAAACAAGCGGTACGCCGGGTGACCAGTGGATGATTTTTCATTGCGAAGTAGACGATTCTACGTGGTGCTAGTGTATTTAATAGTTCATTACAAAAGATTCTTAATTTATCCAACAAATTAAAAGTTGGTGCTTTAATAATATTGTTACGTGGAATATAATAATATACGTTACGTCAAGCCAATGTACCGGCTAGAACCTCAGATGTTTCACGAATTATTTTTCATAAAACAGGGTAAAATTAAAACCAATGATTTTAGTTGCTTACAATTTTCAGTACGGTTAAAAAATGTAACAAAAATTTGAAAATTAAAGCTCGAAATATATCATCCTGTTGTAGCTTTAGGTTATTATTGGACGGTAATTACAGTAATTGTCTAATGCTTCTAGAACGTTTTTTTAAAGCAAAGCAAATAGCTCGGCTTTAATCGCATATTATAACCAACTAGGTACACTTGCATATGGAATGAACCATGTGCTTAAAGTCGTTCCGATCATATCATATAGTGTATTTCATAGGCGTGGCACCTAACATTTTGTTCTTAAAAACAATACTATTACCCTGAACTCGGGTGCTTACAGATGTAGTTCTATTTGTTCATACGCAGAAGGTTATGAAGGACGCGCATTTTTTCAATATATATCGACAGCGATAAGGAAATCGGTTAAAAGGCCAGTAATCCGCTACGAGCAAGATCTTTATGAACGGGTTACGGAAACCCCACACGTGTATTTACACACACGAAGTTGTTTATAGAGGGCCGCGACTCTGTTAAAATCCCTTAATATTTCAAACACAATGCTACTGTTGTTGTTGTCTGAACTGTGCTTCCAAGAAGGGAACTCCATACTGATACCCCTATAAATTTTTGAACCTTTATTATGCCTACGTAAATATACGTATTTTGTACGTGTCCCTTGTTATGTGTTATAATTTATTTTAGAATAATACGCTTATATAGCAATCACTGAATTCACTAAAGACCCTAGCTTTAAGCACCCTGATGCTATCTAACGAACAACCAGCGAATGAACAAAATACTCTGGCTAGATTGGTGACAAAACACTTGGCCAAATTCAAAGAAAAATTGGGGTGTGAATCGAATTAACTGACCATACTATAGCAGCTGCAGTTAGGAAACCGCTTAGAAATGTGCAACCTATCTAAGCCTGCCGCGACATTAGCAAAAATTTTAGCAGGCTCAGTTCCCTGAGACTTAAAAATTAAGGACGAGTGCATGCTCAGGCAAAGTCTCGACAATGTGGCGAGAAGAGTAGACTGCAACATCTAATCTTACACCGCGAGCGAAAGGGAGGAAAAGGATTGTTAATGTAGAGATCTGAATTGCACTTTATGGTAGATATCTGCTCACTTTATAGTTGATACCGATATTCACGGGATACCCAATTTTTGAAAAAATGCTTTGTGCACTGCGGTCTTGGAAGACACAGCTTACCATATGCTGACGCTATACTAGAGCAGGATACATGACAGGAAAAATGAGATCGGTCATAGAAAATGGTGTCAGGAATATATCATTGTAGGGTCAAGAGGAAGCTGGAACAGACGAGACCCTAAAAAGGGAGATTTCGGAGGAAAACAAGCAGTTCGTGAAGTTACGCTTGAGCAGCAGAAAAAAACAATGCTTTGCGGCCAAGTTGACAGGACGCATTAGGAGTTATCCCTTTCTGCAGAAAACTGCTTCATTCGGAGATGGGGAACCTGGCCAGAATGGCTCCGGCTTAGTGATCCGGTGGCATTGGCTGACCCTTCCTATATGATAGTGTCACTGCCAAATGAAAATCTGAATTTACACGGAGTAGACCTGGAGAGAGACATTGAAAATTAATGGGTAATGGTTAAGCCGGGACTAGGTTCAACAGTCGGAACTTCGCATTCGGTCCACATAAACTAATTAGAGATTATAGTTTAATGATGCTGTACGTACGTAAACTGTTTTACTCAAACCCTGTTAACAAAATTACCGTTCAAGCGCTCAACACTTCCCGACGTTACGCACTGGCAAATCCATATATAGTGCCTAGGATAAGAATATAACATGGCCTTGAAGGTAGCTCGCACTTACTCAGATAGAACTTTTGCCATTTTTTTTGTTAGAGGGATTTATAATCCATCTGATTTGCAATTATTATGAATTTAGTTGTTGTCTCGCCTTTTTCTTCTAATTTAATCGTCTTACGTTCGTAGACGGTACGTTTGTTGCTCTTTTACACATGGCTATTTCGTAAGACTGCACGCGCAAAATAGGATAAAACTCATCCTCGTGTTGTTACACTGCTTCATGAATACGCGACGCCCAATAAATTTGGTTGACGTGCCAGTTTAATCTGGCTTAGAAGGAGACTAGTTGCGGTCCTCTGCTCTATTCTGTGTCCTGTCTATATTGCACTTTGTCTGAAAGTGGTCAGGGTCCGAAAATAAAATTGGAATACTGTTGAAATATATCCACATACATGCCCTCGTTTAGCTAGCATGGAGATAGCTAAGGGATGACAGTAATTCTGCGATTTGTTATTAAAGGGGTTTTAGCCGACGGCTATCAGAAGCTCGACACATGGTTGTCGTCAGTTATTTTTTGAGAAATTGAGACAATTGATAATCGTCGTGTTTGCCTAAATCGCTAGGAATCGAGCGCTCAGCTCCTATCAGATCAAAGAACCGATGGCTGAAAAGCATGTTCTGCTTAGAGAGAGCGATAGGGGCGGCGCTTACAATCAGTCGAACCTAAAGAGAATCCGTAGTGGCACCGAGTTGTATCTTAGCCCTTGCCACCCTTGCACAGTCCTCGTACATCCTCACCAGACACAAGTCGCGCTACCCGCATCCTCTTAAATATGGCTGTCGTTCAGTCAGCGCTAAAGGCTTCATGTCTGTGCTGTGTAAGTGCTTTGAACGTTGTTTGGTTTGCTCACAATCGTCTAACAACTTCGTCATCGGTCCTCATCTTCGTTACATGTTCTCCTGCGTCAGTCATAGAATGCCATATTTGTAAATCACTCTTCGAGGTTTGCTGTAACAATCATTGACGATAAGACACTAGACAACATACAATAGATCAGGATGCAAGAAGCTGTGGCCGATCAGCCTCCTCAGATGATCCCGCAGAACGCAGCACTTCACGCTAACTCTCGCGCTGTAGTGATCGAAGCAAAGTCGTTCGCATGTACTTTTGAGGACTGCAACTTCAAATCGTACCGGTATCACCATTTGAAAAGACATATTATGACGCATACTAAGGAAAAGCCGTTTGCCTGCCCTGAGTGCGGGACTAAGCGCGCACGACGTGACGCGCTTGCCCAGCACATGAAGACGCATGCGAAGAAAGACAAATGCAGGTGCATACATTGTTCAAAAAAGTTCAACAGCGTGGAAGAAGTACAAGAACACCTTGATACGGCACATCGACATATCTGTGACAAATGTAAAAGAAATTTTGTTAGTACGAAACAACTGAGTGACCACAAACGTGAGCATAATGTGACCAGATGTCGAATGTGCGCGTTTTCGTCGACGCACTACCACAAGGTCATGAGACACGAACGCAAAGTGCATTTTATTTCCAAGGACAATCAAATAGCTCAGGCGGCCACTCCGGAGGACGTAAGCCAAGGTCAGACTGTGGACGAAATCGAAGATCAATCAGGCAGCGATATCAGGGAGGCGAGCTCACCTGATTCTGTCAGCAGCCTCACAGGCCCAGTCGCTATGGTCCGCGCGCCAGCCACTGACGACAACCTTTCTTCCCAACCGTTGGACTTGTCAGTCCGATCAACCGTAGTACAGGCCAATAATGGAACCAACATCAACTTCAATTCAGTCGATGGATCCAATCCTAACCGAATCCCTCCCGCTCCTTTGAATCTGCCCTATGAGCTACAGATGAACAGTGTAATGAGACCAGGCTACTATTTACATTTGTATCACAACTATTTGGATTACATCAATAATCCCGCGTACTGGTATTTTTCTCAGAACTAAAAGCTTACCTATACATGTCTGTATTGACGATTATGACAAAACTTATATTAGAATCTGGCCAGTACGACATGAATCGTGCAATGTAAAAGAAATTAGCATTTCAACAGAGGAATATAACGACTCACAAGCGCGTTCGTAAGCGAAGAGAACGATACATTGCATCTTATATAGCTACGTTGTGACCGGCCAACGAAAGGCGGTCCTTTGCTTGCCTTATGACCATCGTAGACCATTTCCGTGCAAGACCACCATCAGCCTCTGATTTCTCGTTTCGTTTTTTCGTTGTCCAGTGTCTATCTAAATAACCAAAATATGGCACTGATTCCAGGGCTTTCATGTCTTACGATAAACATTGCGCACAATACCGCCATGCTAAATACAAAAAATATTGCAATACATTGAAAGTAAGCCGAGAACGATAACATATACGTAAGTAAATACCCCGAATCATAAAATGTCTAAGTCAGTATGTCTCTAATGCCTAAGTAGCGATAACATTCGCTTATCTTCACGTTTAGTTCTCTCGAGTGATATTTGCGGTACTTTGCACACTTGCAATAATGTTATCAGAAGTCATAAATTTCCGCTTGCTATATTTTTATGGTTATATATATATATATATATATATATATATATACATACATATACCTATATATAATGGTTGGAATAAATATCGTCACTACACAAGTGAACTATGTTTTAATTTACTTATCGACATTAACGTTCATCATAGAGAAGCTTACGAAATGAATTGCTGTCTTGACGCTCTAGACCATCTTCGCAAACATCCTAGGTTAAGCTGAGATTGATTTTCAACAACAATGCCCATTCAACTCTATATCTGAAGTGTCTTCAAATATGCACCTCCAGTAGACTATAAATAATTTAATTAATTATAACAAAATGAATAAAATATAAACGAACCATATAAACATTTTCATGATGACGGTCTTATGCAGACAACTTAATTCTTAGTTTCTCCTTCAAGTTACTTATTCATTTTTCAATTTCATGTTGTTTGTCGTTTTCCTAATTACGTGCTTGGTCACTTCCTGCGCGCTCGCAGAAAACCTAAGTAATAACTAGCTCGCATTTTACGTTGCATCCTATTATTTTCTATTCTATCCTACTTGTCATGGCTACATGTTCACTTCCAATTTACTTATTCTGTTTTTGTAAGTATTTAGAAGCGGAGCATGGCAAAGAGTCAGTCGAATATACTTTACATGACAAAGACGGTCCATTCTACAAAATAATATAAACCGATTAGAAACCGGAGGAGACAACAGAGCTCATTAAGAATCACACCTTTTTCTAGGTTGCTCTCTTGTAGTATCCTATGTCTTTTAGTTTTCACTTAATAGGACTATCTTCTTTTCTATCCGATGTATAATCCGTCGAGTGCACAGCTAAGACAGTGGAAGCTGATGTTTAAAATACAGACGCAGTTGCATACACGGTACAGGTAAATAGGGCAATATTCGCCCTCCGGGGTCAGCACTTACAAGCTTATATCCTCTACGGCTAATACTTCCTTATTGCCAGGTACACAAAGTATGTAAGGTTTAGTTGGACGGCTATAATGAACTTACTTTAGTCGAAAAGTTGAGGGGTTGCAAAAATTTAAATAGTGGATTGCCTTAAGCTGAAAAATCCTGTACATGCTTGTCAAACTCTAAGAAAGGAAAAAAGCAAATGGATTTTTTTGATAGCTAAATAAGTCACCTGTAATAACAAATCATCATTTAGACTCTCAATATCTAATGATGGTTTTTAGTGTTTTCAACGTATATAATTTCTACCCCTAAAAGCCCATAGCTCGTAGCTCAAAGCAATGCTTCTTACATCGATCTGCTCCGTGTAAACCGTGTATTTAGACCTACAAACCCTTTTTTACTTGTATAGGGAGCAATTTTTTTTCAGTCCCCACACAGGCGACGGCAGCTATTGATGAACCGGGCGATCTTCACCTGCATATGACTGACGTAAGTTTTGCGTTGAGGCGTTGAGGCATAGCTTTATGCCTTTACCTAAGAGACGTAAATAGATCTCACAAGTATCTCACGGTAATAGTCTACGCTAGATGTGGTGGTTTCCGTAACGTTCGACTCCTACCTGCAACACAGTCATGTCTCGGTTGACTCAGTTATCCGTGCTATTTCAAATTACGGTGTTTCAGAGTTTGTTCACTCATCGAATAATAACAATGATACGTTTTCGCGGCGTATTTTTATTATTTGTATGAATGACATCCACGCAGCGGTGATCGTGCTTCTACTGTCATACAGAGCCCCACGTACTGATACAATTTCTTGGAATTATCTTGAGTAATCATTACTGAATCAACCAAGCCGCATGTTACGTGTGCTGTTAAATATATGGTTTCATAAGCACCTCTGTAGATAACGTAGTGCTCTGCCAAGTATATTCGTCTGAGTCAATCGATCAAAGGTCAGTGTACTGCTGTTGAATTTTCATATGGTCCCTTGCATGTTATGTCAAGATTCAATAACAACCCAGACTATTAAGACCCCAATGCAACCCGCTTCGTGTTCCGTTCGTAGCCCCACATGCTGTCTGACTCCGAATAGGATTGGAAGAAATTCTCGGAAGGTCGTCGGCCGAGCAATCAGTAGAAGTAAGCTGTCTCTTGACTGCAGACGAACCTTCGAACAGCTGTAATACAGGCGCAGTGTTCCGAAACATGATAACCGCTGGGTTTACCTTGGTCTAAGGCCTACGATGCTTCTTCAGATTCCTTCTACCTCACTGGTAGAAAACATTTCGGCGCACTTTACCAATATAGAGTAGAAAAGTAATTTTCTTTTCGGTCACCATACTGACACGTATATTTGCTCGGCGGTTAGCCCCATAGCAGCTTCAAAAACAGAGGACTCTTTCGCAAACTTCGATTTTCTATAGAGATTGTCTTAATTCTTCAATTGTAGCATTCTTTGTTGTTGCTACTTTTGTGATTTTTCTTGTCTGTTGTTGTTGTTGCTGTTGTTATTATATATATATATATATATATATATATATAATATTGTTACTTTACTATAATTGAATTGATTGGCAATGATTAATTGTGCAATGAAGTGAAACTACTTTTTACAAATACTGTACAATATATTACGAGACAAAACTAAACGCAGCTCTCTACAAGAACAATAATATGACAATTACCTGTCCAACGTCCATATTGGAACTTCAATTTGATTGAACCTTGATTAAGGTTAATGAACCTCTAGTAGCATCTGTCTAGACAACCTTAAAATGCACTTACAATACTAAGACGATCAGCTCCAACTGAGAAAGAAACGAAAGATTTGAGAACCATTATGCTAGATAGGTATTGTCTTATTCAAAGCTGATATATTGGAGTTATATCAATTAAGTAAAATATTTACACGGTATATTTGGCCCAGCTTATATAAGATTACGAAGGCACACCGAGTCTTCTTCGTGTAAACGTATATATAAAGCTATTTCAACGTATAATTATTCAGGAGCTCTCCAGTAAAGCGCATGGCTTACTTGACGAGACGGAGTAAAATTTATATCGAAAACGTTGTCTTCCGTCCCGGTACTCATGGCTGCTTCGTGGCAGAGACCCTGATTGAAATAAGAAAAAAAAAACATGGAAATTTAATCACGGGTTTAGGCCTATTTACGAAGATGTTGATCCGTCTTGCCATTACACTGCTACGCTAACTGTTTACAACGCAATATGCCCTTGATTCCTTCTGAAATTTTAGATGCATTATGCAGATTGTCGCTACAATGGAGCCGATCGTTGAACTGCTAAGCCATCCGTACGAAGTCCTTACGTGACATATTCCTCATCAAACGCCTCGTTTAATAACTTATGGCCGGAGAAAGTATTACTAGGTTAGAGTTTTGTTACTCGACAACGTAGGACTCATGCGAATAGGTGTTTCTAGCAATGTAAAACCAATGGTGCGCTCATTGGTGTTTTTCAATTCAAACTTGATGTGCTTGTTGAAGAAAGGAAGCCTAATACAATATAGGCAGGTTATTGTGATCGTTTCTAGTTACAGATAGCTTTCTTCCTGCAAAACGGACGTGAAGCCATTCACAATAGATCATGAGATGCAGCCAGATAAACGTCAGCATCAGATGCACTCATAGATTTCTGTGTTTTTCTAACATTATAGTTCTATATTAACTAAATATTAGTAATGTAACGTTTCATTATAATATATTTATGGGCTTACAGCAGAAGGTGAGATTAACAGGGATCTTGATATGGGATTGCCCATCACCCGTAATTCTTTACATCAACGACGTAATGGAGATCGGCGACCTGGCAGAGCGAATCTAAGGTTCGGTCGCAACTGTGCTTAGGCGTATAACAAAAAGTCGTTCGTTGAGCCTAGCTTCATGTAGAGATTTTGGAGAAACAGAGCTTTCTTGCGAGAAAATCCAATACGCAGTGCGAAAACGACTGTGATAGAGTGGTGATGGTAGAAGATGACGCCACTGGCGTCTCGAAGTCGGAGTTGGCGTCGGCGTCTCATCGGCTAGACGAAAGGTCATGAACTCAAAGCTAAAGACCGAAACTACCCCAGTGCGTGTTGGGGTTTTAGCAACCAAGCTCCTAAGGTTGAGAGCTCGAAAGCTATGATTTCCTGTTCTGCGGCGCTTCGAAAGTGAAACAATATGTTGCAAGTAGGGCGAGGGTGAATATTAAGCACCACTAATATTTCTGTACAACACTGTGGTCTATGTAAAGGGCTTACGGATTTCACAATACTCTACAACATAGTACCTTAGCTACTACTCATAATCCATCTGCCCGACTGCATCTTCTTGTTTCAGCTATGCAAATTGTTTAACTCAGCCGACTCGGTCTGTCATCGCTAAGGAAGCTTGACGTTTTCGAGCTGCGTTCGCTAGCGAAGTAGTGATTTGTTCGGCGTTCAGATTAAGGTTTACAACCTTCATAATCTATCTTGAGAAAAAGAGAAATACAGACCGAGGGCTATGCATCGGGATAAGCCATATAGGCACAGGGGTTACTGCGACCGACAGCGTATACCCTTTTCAGCCCGATAATTATGAGATTCAATGACAAGTGTCATTGATAAAATTCCTCGATGATGCTCCCCGTAAGTTATACTAAGCCTGAATCAATTTTGAGTGTTTGACTCTAACGTTGGAACACGCCGAATTAATTAATCTCCGTATATAAGATCCATATATAACAAACGAATACGGTAGAAATGCAAGACAAATTTTTAGTCTACTGTTTGCTGCCATAACGCTTGATTTTTTTTGGTTCGATTGAAATTAGTTCTCTGTTTAGCGGTATGCAAAATAGACGGACGGCGCACGGAGTAGACGATTTTGCCTAATGCTATCGGAGGTTTTTGTTATACTGAGCTCGTATATATGTATGCCTTTCATAGAGGTCACATAGTAACTATAGGGTTCTAGGTTAATGGCCTATTGTATAACATTATGGTTCCGCCTATAACAAACTGCTGGTGAGATGCTTTATTTAAAAAGACAAAAGGGAAAGTGGGTTGTATTCCGTAAGGCTGCG